GGGGGGGGGGTTTGCTATCTCTAATAGCAAACATATCAAACATAAATAGGCCTAAAGTGATGTAATATGCTTCCTTGGGAACCCAGGTCCAGGAGGAGTTGGCTATGTCCATGGCAACAGGGTTGGTCTCTCTCACTTCCAGAGCATCAGTTGGCATGCTGGTCATTGCTGGAGTGGTAAGATATATTAGATTAAAAATGCTTTACAACAGGACTTCTTTAAGTTCTATAACATTCATTATAAATACAATCATGTAAAATATACTTGTGTGGTGCCATTTTTGGACAGGTGTGGCGTTCTGTGGGATGGAGGGTTATTGTACTTTCTGTGAGTCTCTACAGTTTGCTATACCTGTATGAAAGACTGACCTGGACCAACAGCGCTAAAGAGAAGGCACTTAAGCAGCAGTTTGTGGACTTTGCCACTCAAAGACTGCAGGCCATTTCACACATTATCAGCAGTGACTGTGGACAGCAGGTGCAACAGTGAGTGACAAGACCTAACAAAAATTTCCCATGAACCCTATGCAGAATCTGCATGTGGAAATTTGTCCTCACACGAAATTCCCATTAGTATGTTGATTCCTATGAAATGACTAGATTTCACCAGTGAAAATTTGCCAAATAGTCAATTTGACCATATCTTTGATACAAACACCATATATGGAATTACAGCAGAAGCATGAGTGTTCCGAATCTACTTTTTGATTTCCCACTTCAAACTAAAATGATCCAGCAGTGACCCTTTTATCCAGCTATTTAAATCTGTCCATCAACTTTGCACACTGAATAACATGGACTTATGTGACACATCACCTGCCTTTCCCAGCATTTAATCATGGCAATGTTGAGTGAATATTTCATCCACAAGGTGACAGCTGAAAAGACAACGCTGCACTTCACCGACCTGCATACAAACATATTGAGATGTTTGAAATATTGGTTTATATGATCTGTAGGATGAGTGTGTGTGGGCGATGTGTGAAGGATATGCCTCTCTGTGTTCTTGCAGGGAGATGGTGGCCGTCTTTACCCGCATGTGCCAACAGGTTGACAAGAGCGAGATGGAGCTTGAAACAGAGATCCGCAGACTCAGCGCCAGGATTCAGCGCCTGGAGAGTGTCCAGAGACACTCCAAAACCCTCAGGTAGAACAGTCATGATGTGCGTGAGAGAGAATGACAGCTCATACGGGAGATAATTGCCTTTAATTGAAAGCAAATCCTTGTCAATTGGTAATTCTGTAGGAGTAAGCACAACAAAGGTGGGGCTGCATCATATAACAGCATTTCATGTTTATTTGCTAATTTTCTACATTACAACTTGCAGTTGTATTTTATGCTATATTTTCTGACTTAAAGCTGATGTAGTTTTAAATAGCTAAAATATGTTTTTTTCTATCCCAGCTTAATAGTAAGCCATTTGTAGATTGATTCTTCCAAGGCCTGCCTCATGAAGCGAGTTGAACAAAACCAGCAGAATTACTTTCTCTGAAGATAAAAGATCAAATTCAAGTGAATTTATATAAATCCAAAACAAAACTGTAATTCTAAAAGTATTTTTATTGTATACAAATATAAAAAGTATGAACATAATTGCTCATATGTAATGCATTAAGTATCTGTAGACCTCAATACATCTTCAAATGCTAAAAAAAAAGTCAAAGTTGGTAATAGTCCAGGTATCATTGGCCTGTATCAATTGCATACAACTATGTAACGAGATTTGAGAATGTGGCTTCATTCAGTATCTGTCTCGAACCTAGAACAAAACTTTCCCAACCAGATTAGTGTTAGTCACTGTGCCAATAAACACCGCTAAGAAACATTATTCAGACAGAAAAACTTGCCACTTAGACCTGGTTTGTGCGGCAGGTCTCTGAATAGATTGAGCATCCAAACCACTCCAAACACATCAACACTGGCTCAAACAATAGTAGCAAAATAGAGCAAAATCAGGGGAGGGTTCAGGAAAAAAACAGCATACATTTTTTTTGCAATTGTCATTGGTAATACAATTAGTTCAGAAATCACATAATTCAGTTTTATGTGGCCTGAAACGATAACATTTGTTTTATTCCCAGGCATAAAGCCACTGATCTGGAGTCACAACTGGAGTCTTTTTCAGCACAGTATCTGCAGACTCAACATTAACTAGAGCAGCAAGAAACTGGGAACGAGTAAGACTGTCCTCCAGTGTTCAGTGCTGGAACAACCCAACGCCTGCCGAATGGAAAATTACATGGAATCTGATTTATTTCAGTTCAAGATGTCAAGATTTCTCATTGACAAACAACTAATTGTAGCAAAGTAATAATGTGGAGACAATCTCTTGATGAAAAGCATTTATTGGTTATGACAACAAATAGTAACAGGTTTTACTGCCACTGTACGAATACAAACAAATTCTGTTAAAAAATCAAATAAAAAAAGATCTCACAGCAAGAGATCATTGTTTTCGGAGCCAACATAAAGCAAATAATACAAATCTGTTTTCAATAAAGCATTTAAAGTGAATTAAGAGGAATGTGTGTTTGAATCAAGAGGCAGTTATGTCTGCTGGTTTTGTCCATGATATACACACACACACACATACCAGGGAGGGACAAAAATCGCAGAACTAATAATTACTGAATAAGTGAATTAAAATAAAAAAATCATCTGGTTTTAAATCAAGTAGTTACAGCATATGCAGGACCATCCAGATATTTTTGTCCATTACATCAGCAAGGATCATTTATTTTGCACCACAAACAGAATACCCATAAAGGAGTAGATCTATTGCTATATAAAATACATCAAAACCACTATGAATCACGCACGCTTGCTTTTTGGTAAACTACAATTTGTTTGAGGGTTGGTGACAGTCTGTTGTTAATATGCTTAAAAGATTGCACTTCGGTTATTTGTGTCCTGTATGTTTATAAATGAAAAGGTTTCTGTAGCAAGTGAAAACACAGCTAACACACAACACTTTAATGTGGTACATTGAATCTAACTGAATCTGTGATCACGCTACAGCAACCGCTGCATTTACTTCTGCATTCACTTTCATTTTTAGAGTTGAAGGCAGGGTATTTCTTTGTAGTATTGTGATCAATTATTTGACATGAACTGCTGCCAATCTGTCTTGGGGTTTCAGTGCAGTAATTTCAATGCTTGTCAGCATAACCACCTCTGTAAAAACAATTCCGATTCAGAAAAATTAAGCTCTCACTTCCTCTAGCATGAAGGCCATCACGTGGAAAGCAAATGTTGCGAGGGAAACCTTTATCAAAAAATATAAATATTTAGGCCTCACGTCATAAGTTATGTGCTGAGTGCCTACTGTAAATGAAAGAAAAAGTGATTGCAAAGATCTGGATAATATAAGCTGCACCATTTAATACGATAGTTCTAACACAATCATTTTCACAGTTGGTAACTACCTGCACGCTGATTTAATTCTTACGTTCTAACTTAATAAAGGCCATGCATTATTTTTTTATGCCGTTAAGGTTTTTGTAAACGCAAGCAAGCAAGCAGTTTTTTCCCCCTCTGAGTCAGTGGATTGTGGTATTGCTAGCACAGTGTTTGATCTTATCCATAGGATAAGGCTCAGTAAGCTAGCTGAAATATCCATAGGATATTATGTTGCCTGCTCCCTACGGTCATATTCATGTACTTTATGGACTAACTGGCAAGTTCAGGTTGAACTTCAAATGTAACGAATGTTCCGGATTCAATACGCGCTAAGGTCAATGGTATTAGTCTTCACAAACACACAAAAAGCAACAATCATGGATAAATGAAGACACAACAAAATCAATAAACACTAAAAAATACCATTTAAAAGTATAGCAACTAAAATTGCACATTGTATTAACATGAAACTAAAGTCATAGCAATATCATCCCCTGTTATGACTATAAAGTCAGTAAACTCAATCAAGAGGACAATAATAGGAAAAGAAAAAAATACATACAGAAATGATGTTGGTAATGACAATTTGCAAAACCCAAATTATACAAATATAACTGTCAAATTTACACATGTGCTGTACATTATTTATTTTAATGGCAAGTGCCTCATTTTCCCAGAAAAAGCAATATGTACCGTACATTATTGATTGTATTGTATTGAAACTGGAACATACCTTCAAGTCAATTAAACACCTACAAAGGCTATACCTTGAGGAGAATTGGATGTCATATCAATTATGTTAGTTTTACTAAATCAATTCAGGTTAAAACCCTTTTGGCCTTCATTGCACTATGCAAAGTTCTTCATGTACCTTAACCGCCTAAATGTTGTAAACACTCAAAACAGGAGGATCATAACTTCCACATTTGTTGGATGTCCTTTCATATCATAAGTAACTGCATGATTGAAATGAAATTTATCCGATGAACAGTAAATGTCATATATTAAACACCTGAAATAACACAAAACAATACAGAATACTGAATGCAATCTTGTATTGGAAATGTAAGTATCGTTAATGTCAAAAACTTGCCTGGAAAAAAAAAGCCCAAAACTAAACAACCACAATGAAACGCATAACCTTTGTACAGATTTGTATGTGCTCACAAAGCCAGCCTTTACATTAATTCACACTGATTGGCACAAATTTAAGGTGATTACTGATGGTTCAAGTGAAAAATTACTTCCTTTTAAGGCTTGCTTTTTTGTTGTTGTTTTACTGAAACAGACAGAGGGCTATATACCTTCAATACACACATTTGTGACTAAATACACACAGTGTAGCTTGTGGTCCATGACAGTTTTTTTTTTGTCATAGAGCTGAAGCACATTAATTCAAATACGTGCAGAAACACCAGTGTGTGCAGTCTCACGTGACTATTTTCTAGTGCAAAAGCATACAGTCCTAGCTAGGTCTTCATCTCAGTGGGCAGGTGTTCATAGTGCATGTAGAAAGGCAGACAATGTCAGAGTGGCAGTGACCAAGGCCTCTTGTTAGGTATCAGGTTGCAATTCCAGCCTGCTCACCAATGGCAAAGTCTCACAAAGCATCAAGGCCATGCTTGGTGTTCGGATCAAAACAAAAGACTTAACCTTAAACTTTCCAGAAATAGTTTTGCTTAAAATGTCATCACGTACTCAGCCTCAAGTGATTCCAAAACCATATGATTTTTTGTGCATCCACGCATGTAAAATCACCATGAAAGTGGCCCATTTGATGGGTGTACCACTCCATGTCGTATGAAGACATACAACAAATTTTTGTGAATAACAGACTAAAGTCGTAATTCACTGATAACTGAGTGTTAATGAAAGGTTTCATTCTGATTCAGCTCATGAGTTCATTCAGCCCACTCAATTTGGATTAAGTGGCTAAATTTAGATTACCAACTTAAATTTCAGTCTGCTTCTCACTCATTATTTTGTACGTCCTCAGACGACTTGGAATGTAGAGTCATCTGGAATACTTTCATATCGGTTTTAAGGGGTTTTTGGATCCATTAAGCATAAATGCATCAGTACTCATATATTGTGATTTATTGGAAAACAGCAGTCTTCTTTAGAATTGTTCTTTTGATTTTACCAGAAAAAACTAAAGTCATACAGGTTTGGAACAACATGAGGGTGAGCAAATTACAACAAATTACACTTGTGGGTGAACTATACCTTTAACCATATATGTATCATATATCCAGCAAAATAAATATGGAAAGCAGCAAATCTCAGATGGTACATATAGTGATAGTAAAGACAGATGGACAGACAGGCTGATAGTAAATCCTTCTGTGCTGTCTGTAATGCAGTTTAATACACTGAAACACGCCAAACATTACTGTCAAGCTTAGAGGGTGGCAAACACAAGCTCAGTGGCATCAGTGTTTCTCTCACAACTACACATTACCAAGCTGAGCCTGAACCATTTATGAAAGAATAGACCCAACACTGATGCTACCTGATGCAAACTAAATTAAGGTTGAGGGCCAAACACTTATGGCCTACAATACTGTGGCAGCCTAATCCCTTAGTTAATTACACTGGCCACTGTGTCTGGCAAATAGCACTGTGATTGGGGACAAAGAGAAACAAAATAAGCAGGAAAAGAAAACAGGGACAGTTAAGACACCCATCACGAGTATCCACACATCCAAACACTGTCAGAAGTGCATATGTTACACATACAAGCACACAGAATGGCAGATATATACTGTACACAACACAGTCTGTCCCCCACCTCGAGTCAGACATCAAGCCAGAAAGACAGAGAGCCAGTGGAGGCTCATCGCTGTTGGTCCTCACCTCTTTGACTGACTGCAGGATGGTGGGATAATGCGGTCTAAGAAAGAGAGAAGATGAAGAAAACTAGGTCATCTATAAGGAGGAGATGGAGAGGGAAGGGTCCTCTGTGGCAGCGGTGCACTACAGTGATTGTGTGATCAGAAAGAGTGGCTCCCGAAGTCCAACCCAGTGAGGTCAGTTCCATATCCTAAGGAAGCTGTCCCAAGAACCGGTGGCCACAGCCATGCCATCACTGGTTACCCCCAAACAGCTGACTCTGTTGTCATGCCCAGCTAGAACACCTTCACAGACAAGACCAACAAAAATAGCAGAGATAAGTATCATACAAATCTTACGGCACATGAATAAGTGTGGCTGTCTATTAGGGGTGGGAATCGCAGGGTACCTCACGATATGATACGAATCACGATACATGGCCCTCGATACGATAATATCACGATACAGCGTCATCGATTACTGCTGTAATCGATATATTGCTAGACAATCCTATAATGATACATCACAATATCTGTCTATGAAAACAAAATGCCTGTGAAAAGGTTAAGTGCAAGTTTTCTCTCTTTAAGTCCAAACTTAGAAAATAGCACAAAAGTTCTGTAAATCAAATTTAACATGCCAAGTAAATTAATATTTTTTTTCTTGGACTTATTAAAAGCTTACACTTTTCTTTGTGGGAAAACCAACACATTTAACTGCTTATCAACTTTATTTCAAAATTTACCTGGAGTGCTTTCTTAACCTTTCCTCTCCTCTTATCATTAAAACGGAGACTCGCACATGACGTGCAGGGAAAAAATAGCCGTTCACATCGTGTCTTTTGCACGCTCAAGTTCGTTGTTTCAAATGTAGACATGCGGCAAGCACACTTCTACAAGGGGTATCGCCACATTACGGCTCTGACAAGGTTTTGTTACATCATCCATGCCATAGGTGCAGATTTATGTTTCTGCCGGACGGTGCCCACTACCCACACTTCATAATACTGCACTTGTAATATCTGAGGGAGAGGGAGAGAAAGGGAGAGCATCCAGTTTTGTTGACAAAACTGGACGCGCCGGCACCACTCTCTCTCTCTCTCACTCATATAGTGAGGGAAATGCACCTGCGATCTTCACGGACTGAATATGTGCTCTGCAATAATGACAACATGATCAGTGCCTATGGTCCACGCTGAGAGCTGTTCTGGGGCAGTTTTTTTAGTTCTAATCTCCATAAACACAGGGCTCTGAAGTCTCGCGCATTCACCGTGAGACATGCATTTCAACCAGTTCACACGCCCTCACGCCACACCTTGTATTTCTCACGCTGAGAAGTCCTGCTTTACAGGCTGTTAATGGACGAAGCGCAAGCTTGCAGAGGGAAGTTCTCTGCCGAGTTCATAGCTGTCCTGAGAGTTAATGCCACCTACCAGCCAATATCAGAAATTATAATTTGTTTTCAAGTAAATTACGTGATCCTGCTACAATCACGTTCGTATAGGAAACATGGATGCGCACACACTGGACGAGGAAGCTAGTGGAAGCGTTTTGTGCAGTCGAGGCGGTGGTCGAGTTGCAGTCTTGGAGCGGACGTTGCCATTTGTATTTACTAAACCCCTTCATTTAAAAAAAAAAAAAAAAAAAAAAAAAAAAGCCTGGTCAAAATCACTTGCCTGTGATCAAAGACAGTGAGAGCTGATGTTGGGGAATACAGCCAAATGCTAAATATCTCTCCAACAGCTTTAACTAAGTTACAAACAAACACTTGCAATACAAAATGCCATTCATAAGCTAAGATGTACTTCTGCAATCCTACTGTATGTGTACAGTGTGTACATTGAGCACTGCTGTTCAGTTGGCTCCTTTGGGCCAAATTTCTTTTTATTTTTGATACATTTGTATTTTTGAAATATATAAAACATTTTATTTTATTTGTACGAATTTGACTTTTATGAGATTTACCAGTTGTTATAATTTCTATTTTGTGCTGGTCAATTATGAACAATAGTTAAATTTGAACTTCTAGCAAAAACGTGAGAGAATTGCGTGGAGCCGAAGGGCCGCTGCTGCAAATATTTGAATGGCTCCTCCCCTAACAGTAATTTCACTCCAAACTTTTGCTAAAACTTGAGAACCCTGTAAAACCCTGTTATATATATATATATATATATATAGAGAGAGAGAGAGAGAGAGAGAGAGAGAGAGAGAGCAGTAGAGCTATTACAGTGGCTTCATGGTTGCTCAGAGCGCTTTGGAAAGAAGGGGAAAATGGTGCAGCTGCAATTTCCATGCATTTTAGACGCTGGGAGCAGGGGAAACTATTTAAAAATGCCTTATTGTATTAATTATTTGGGCCAGTGTATCGATTCTCGTATCGCATGGAAAAAGACAACGATAGATCGTCATATCAATATTTTGTCCCACCCCTAATGTCTATGTGAATCACATATGTTCAGGGTTCGTCCTGGGGAAAGAAATGGTCTTCTGTAGTTACACAAGTTAAGATTTGCTAAATTGTACATTGCTGTCATTCCACTATATAAAGACTAGTCTGAAGTAATGAGATTTATTGTGATTTTCTGTTGGCCCTATTTTGTCTACTAAGCTGCTGAGCATGCTCATAACCTTTTCAGTCTGCTGATACACAAATTAAGCAAACTAGGAAAGTTCCACAAAACAATTATGTAATGCTAATACTCAACTTTATCAATCAGAATGATTTCATTCCGTTTTAAACAAAAGGTCTCCATGTGAACGTGGCTAATGTAATTCAGATGGGTTGCACAGGCTTTGTGGTCTGCGCTGTGTTGTCCTGTTGCTTGGTTAGGGCTGTTATAGGTGCTTGCTTGAGTTTTTTCCTGTGTGGTCAAAAGGGTTGTATAAAGTACTGACCTGCACGCTCTCCCTTTAGAGTATCCCATACATTGCAGTTGAAGTCATCATAGCCAGCAAGCAGCAGGCGGCCACTCTTAGAGAAGGCCACAGAGGTGATCCCACAGATAATGTTGTCATGCGAATACATCATCAGTTCCTGGTCTGCGCGAAGGTCAAACAAACGACAAGTGGCGTCGTCCGAGCCTGTGGTGAACGCATTACCATTTGGGAAGAACTGAAGAAATGAGCACAATTGAAAATGGATATGAGCATTTTCAAACTAACAGTAAACAGTAAGTATTATGAAAGCATTGCACAGGCTCAATAAACCAGTATCAGACACTGCTGAAGACTTTTCTCTTTGACACTCACACTGACAGCATTTATATCAGAAACATGTCCCGTGAAAGACTGTCTGCACATTCCATCTCGGATGTCCCACAATTTCGAGGACGCATCACAGGCACCTGACACAAAAGTCCTAGAGTCTGGGCTGAGAGACAGGCTCATCACATCTCCACTGTGCCCTGTGAATGTGGTGGTCTGCTGACCAGTCTCAATGTCCCACAGAGCACTGCAAAGGAGAAAGACCACCAAACTGACAACTGAAACTCAAATGTAGACTTGAAAAATTGAACCATTAAAATCTACAGGCTTCTGTATGTGGATGGCATAAGAAAGCCTGTAAGCTTTAAACTACAATAGATTCAAAAATGGTGACAGGTGAAGTGATAAAGGCCTTGAGATAACTTGCAGTACCTTCTATTGCCATATCTTAACACTAACACTATCAAAGCATAAGTCAAATCAAATACACAAATACTTGTGGTAAAATAAAATGACAAAAATAATAACTACAATACAGGTAAATGTTTTAATAGGTTATGACATTTGTTTGTGATGCTATGTTTTATTTATTGTGCATTGGGTGGTGCTGTCCCGCTACTTTGCTTTCACACTAAGGCAACTAAGGACCAATTTCAAATGGCCTTTATTGCATCCTTGATGGGCACTTCAGGACACCATTTGTAGGGACATTCCAAATGAAAGTGAACAACTGAAATTCATGAAGGGCCCTTCCAGAAGTCCCTTAGTGAAGGGAACTTAATGTCTAACGTTAGCAACTGGCTAATAAATTGTTAGCTTTTACTCAGCAGCGATTGAGTTGTTAGAGGCTTAGAGTAAGTTAAGCACAGATATATTTTCACTTGCCTACACTTGAACACAATGACTGAGCATTTGAGACTCTCCATGTATTGCAGATGAGCAAACACTAAAAAATATTCTTGCAGATGTAAATGCGGACATCAAATAGAAGTCGGCAGCAATGTTCCCTCTAAGCTGCGTCGTGCGCGGCTGCACAGAAAAAAATAATATGCTGCGCACAGGACAGACGGACGCAAAAATGAGTTGGGAAAGGCATTTGATTGAATTGCAGTAATAATCGCAATGCTCGGTCAAACCGCTATAGAGCTGGTGTCGCTACAGAGTTAAAACCGGTCAATGGGGTTTACAGGTTTCGTAGAAAGAGAATGATGTGTGCCAAATCAACTGCAAAGGAGAAAGACCACCAAACTGACAACTGAAACTCAAATGCAGACTTGAAAAATTGAACCATTAAAATCTACAGGCTTCTGTATGTGGATGGCATAAGAAAGCCTGTAAGCTTTAAACTACAATATATTCAAAAATGGTGACAGGTGAAGTGATAAAGGCCTTGAGATAACTTGCAGTACCTTCTGATACCACTTATTTTGTTTTCGATATGATACCGATATTTTTCAAGGCAGTATCGTCGATATCGATACCGATTCGATACATCTGTACTAAACTTTTAAATTATGAAATGAATTAAATTATTAAATTACTAAGAGTAAAATGGGTAATGACTAAATAACTTAATGTTTAAAACGCATTTTAGTAACCTTTTGAAATAATCAATATATATATATATATATATATATATATTTTTTTTTTTCAGTATTACAACATTAATATTCTAACTTATTTGTAACATTTGAACTTTTGATTTAGTGCAATATTTTGTACTGCCATTAGGGACTGCCAGTGAATGGCTGTTGCATGCATAAAATGCAACCTTTTTATTCTGACGGTGTATGATTTCTATTAACATTACAGAATAGAACATGATCAATATTATCTTTCAACATTCAATTTAAATAATTGTAATTACACAAACTATGTAGGCTACAATTTCAATTTGTTTATTGTGAAATAACTCAAACATTTATCTTTTTATTTCTGTTCTCCGATAAGCATTGTTCAGGGCTGCAATTCCCAAAAGCTTTAATGCTTTCTTATGATACTTTTGGGAAACGCAGCCCTGTTTGAATGCACTGTCAGAATGTCAGAGCACTGTCAGAGAGTGAATGCTCTCTGTGATGGATTGGTTCTGTCTTGCAACATTTGCGTGTCCAGATGAGCAGGAAAATAGTTATATCCTACACAATTACTCGCTAACAAAGGTTATTCGTCCAATTCAATGCATAATGTACGCATTATTATTATTTTTGTTAAATAAACAAAACCACTGGTAAATAAAGCGGACCTTAATATCGATATTTTTAGTTTGAGTATCGATACTTTCGATACTCGCGTCAGTATCGATATATCGATACTTCAGATCGATACGCCCATCCCTACAAATCAGTCGCTGTAGAAATCGAATAATTTTAATGGTTGCGGCCAAAATAGCTCAACACGAGAGCCAATGTAAACGCAATGACATGTGAAATAAAAGGCCATCATGTTTTAAACAAGAGTGGCTTGATTAAGTGGTGGAAATAACAGAGGATGGGCACAGAACAGTAACAAAACTCAGAGCCATTTACAGTCACACAGGTGTAGTAGTGTGAAAACTCTAACGTTACTACTTGTTTTAGATAACTAAAAGAATTCATGTTTACATTTTTTGAAAATATTTATTAAAAAAATGCTTTTTTATATATTATTATATTATATTATGAGCCTAATAAATAATTGCCCTCAAAAAGGGAATTCATGAGCAATAACTGCTTTATTTTTTTTTATATTAGCTATATATTATATCATATTATTATAAAGAATTTAACTGTTCTTGTGAGGTTTTAAATTATTTTTAATAGCATTTCTTGGTAAGTAACAGAGCACTGTAATAATAATTAAAAAATTCTCAGGTAACCTGAAATGTGCATAATTTAGTTGCATCAAATATAAATAACAAAATATAAATAACACATTAAAATTATAAGTTACACACTTTTGTGTGTGTGCGCTGTACTGTCTGATACAGTGTCAGTTATGCACTGAGGAAAACATAATGTCTCAAATGCATTAAACAACACAAATATTCGCTGTTTTCCATAATGGATCGATTTGATCCATGATCGACATTAAGGGCTGCTTATGCCGAGTTCACACTGCACGATTTTAGCCCAATTTTTCACTCGCCGACAGGTTTTGTGAAATCGCCAACAAATGCCCGAAACTGGAGACAAATCGGTCAGTGTGAATTATCAAAGACGCGATCTGAGGGAATCGCCGAAACGTCGCCGACGCCCGCAAAATATTTGGCATGCTAAACATCTGGAGCTGTCGGCGATTCACAATCACGCTGTGTGCAATGATTTCTGACTGAAAACTACATCGGCGATGACCTACAGCCAATGAGAGACCAAGATACAGGGCAGAGGGAAGTTCGGGGAGGAGTTATCAGTATTTTAATAGATATATGAACAATTATATCATACAGAAACAAGCACAAACATTTGCTTGACCAGTCACAACATCAGCATAACAGTTAATTATTTACCTCCCTCTCTCTTTGTAGAGCACCCAATCCCTGTTCCCTGCATCTCCCTCCTACATAATCAGTTTTTCTTTTTCTCCTTGTAGCTGGAAATCAGCTCACAGACAATTTGCGGGCTATATATATATATTTTTTAATAATTACAGTCTTGCTCGAGAAATGTAAAGAACATTTCCTTATCACTTCTCGCGTGTTTTTTTGTGTAACGTAGTTTGAGGACCAGACAGAGCTGTCGGCGATTCTTCATATTGTGAAGTCATGCAGTGTGAAACCCCCTGTCGCCGATCCATCGTGCAATGTGAACACAGCAGCAACTGAATGCTACCCCAGATAGTCACGCAGTGTGAAAACAACGGCGATCCGACGAGTTTGAAAATCATGCAGTGTGAACTCGGCATTAAGAATAAGCGTGCACATCAAATTATCCTGACTCATTGAACCTGGATCGAATTAGTGAGATTGCATGAACATAAATTGTCATTTTTGAAACCGCTTTAGTCCCGATAGATTTGTTAGGTTATTTCAAGTCAGATTTTGGACTTTAATCCCCGCTTTTCTTAGCGTCTTTTATGAAACACCCCTCTGGAAAGACCGTTCTCCATGAGAACGTTAAGTCTGTTCTTTAGCAGTTCAATAGTAGAAAATATCTGAACTACTAACATTCATTTTTGAACTACTGATAAGACATTTTAACAGTACCAGAACATTGAAAACATTTTTTTTACGGAAGACAATTACAATACTGTTAAAGGTAAATAATCTAGTCCAGGGGTGCCCAATCCTGTTCTCGGAGATCTACCTTCCTGCAAAGTTCAGCTCCAACCCTGATCAAACACATCTGAACCAACTAATTAGGATCTGAAGGAGCATTTGATAATTACAGACAGGTATGTTTAATCAGGGTTGGAACTGAACTCTGCAGGAAGGTAGAGCTCCAGGACCAGGGTTGGGCACCCCTGATCTAGTCATTGAAAGCTGTGATGCACTCACCATGTAGTATCTCCAGAGCTGGTGACTATCTGACTATCATCCAGAAAGCGACAACACGACAAATAACCTGGTGAGGAAGAAAAAAAATTATATATCAGAACAGGAGCTTCAACCTACTGCATGATAAATATGCAGACCAAAGGCTGGGTCACACCAAGCCGACTTCAAAGAACTAGCAGCGACAAAACCCGACGTTGTTGTCTTCTTGCTTCGGCAGCGTCTGGATAAAAAGCTGCAGTTGAACACACCGCTCAGACTACAGCTGACTGCAAAGTAAACATCTGCATTCTGCATGAGAGGAATTAGCCGTATACATCAGCAGCTATCAATAGTATATATTCATCATTTAAAGGAGAAACCGAAACAAGGATATACGAGAAATACGCAGATATATGAAATGCAAACAAAGCAGTGATTGCGTACCATTTTGAATATCAGTGTTAATGTTAATAACTTTCTTCATTTTAAGCAGCTCATGTCGTTATGAAAATATTCACATAATGGAATGCTTGGGTAAGATCACATAATATTACAACAGTCTTCTGTCTGTGCCACCTTCATTTACTTGCCCGTTTTCATTGCTTTAATTTTAATTCTCGAGCACGGACTCGTTCACTAAACTGAACATCCAATCAGAGTTCTCATGACGACCCCAATGCCGATTCACCTCCGATGTAAGCCCGACGTGTGGAAGACGCCAAACAAACTAGCCCAATAGATGCTCATCGATGGCCCGCCGTTGACTGACTGTCGGCTTGGTGTGTCCCGGCCTTGATGATGCTAATCCTGCTGACAGTTTACCTGTGTGTCCTGGAAGTTCTCTAGTCACTCTGACATTGCCCTCACGGGTTTTAAGGCTATAGATTGAGCAGATGTTGTCCAGGCCTCCACAGGCTACATAATTCCCTGAGGGAGCGTAGGCACAAGTCATCACCCATGATGACCTTAATGGAATGGCATGCATCTGGAAAGAAAAACCAAACAAAAATGGTTGCACTTGCTTTTCCCATGTGTTATGAAGAATGAGAGCCAATGCTGAATTCAGAAACCGCATGCTACTCCTATTATTTCTGCCATATAACAAAATGGTAAAAATAGTAAGAGTAGTTTGCTAGTATATGGTTCCAAATTCAGAGCCAGGATGTACCGCAAATCCTCCCATGGGTTTGGAGCACCAAGAGGCTAAGTATATGACAGAACTTATATGCAACATACCACTTTCATTTTGATGACTTTAGAATTTTATGATTTACATTAGCGTTTTAGCATCTACAAAATTTAGGTTAACTGATTTTAATTCACTATAATACTTCATTATTCTTTTTTTAAAAATCAGTCATTAAATTTGTGACACAGTTATTATATTCTTGGGTAATATAGCTGTGCATTTTAGATGTATATTCACTTATACTGGCTGGACTAACCTTGTTTGTGGTGTAGCTGTCCCAAATGATGAGTTTGCCATCTTGTGAGGCACTAACTAGTAACCTTAATGTTTAAAAAAAAAAAAAGTTGGAGGAGGGGTTAAAGAGTAAACCACTGTTCATAGTACACATCACAGATTAAAAATACTACAAGGTGAACATGCAGACAATGATCGATGCTTATAACATGAACAAACATGGCAAATGCTTATGATAATTAATGACAAACACTGCAAGCAAATATGCACACAAACTCCACCCATCTAACAATTGTGTCTCCTGCCTAAAGCACTAGAATGCACAGGTGGAGAATGGGTGAATGACAGACGGAGAAGAGAAGGGAGGAAAAGAAAGAATGAAGCAGGAGGCAGCCTACATAATCCTAGAACACCCCTGAGTTGTGAGAGGCCTGCTGTATTATTCATTGAGTGTACACTGACAGAGGTGCAGGGTGGTTAAAGAGTAAACCACTGTTCATAGTACACATCACAGATTAAAAATACTACAAGGTGAACATGCAGACAATGATCGATGCTTATAACATGAACAAACATGGCAAATGCTTATGATAATTAATGACAAACACTGCAAGCAAATATGCACACAAACTCCACCCATCTAACAATTGTGTCTCCTGCCTAAAGCACTAGAATGGATGCACAGGTGGAGAATGGGTGAATGACAGATGGAGAAGAGAAGGGAGGAAAAGAAAGACTGAAGCAGAAGGCAGCCTACATAATCCTAGAACACCCCTGAGTTGTGAGAGGCCTGCTGTATTATTCATTGAGTGTACACTGACAGAGGTGCAGGGCTCCTCTGAGAGTGCCCATCCTCCAGCCCACTCAATCTCTTTCTGTCAACTGACCTAGAATCAGTAGCCCAGTGCATGGCGTAGATTTTGGCTAAATGGCCTCGGAGTGTCCGCCTCGTTCTCATCTGGATCCTCCCAACTGAATCCAGACCAGCTGTAATCTAAACACACACAGAACTCTTAATTTACAGTGACATTATAAAGCAAGCAGGGGACATTTCATCAATCCAAGGTGTGCTACTGATCACTCAAATGCGGGAAAAATAGCTGTATTTGTTGATTTGACTTATGCCAATTATCTAAAATGAACATAGCACTGACTGAAGTGCAGAATTAAACAGCTTTAAAATGTACAAGAGCCATCTCTTCCAACATAAAAAGAAATAATCCGAATAGAAATGATGAAATCTTAAATCACCAAAACCACCAGGGCTGAGTGTTTAAATTTTGATGGAGGACTTGGCATGTAAGAGGTTGTTTAATATTTCAGCACACTTAAGAGCATGTTCAGCATGTAAGTCAGCAGCCAATTTGCATGTTTGTGCTGAGCTCAGAGAACAGGTGAGCATAGACATGGGTTAGACCAGTGCTGCTCTTATAAGGAGGGGGACCCAGCAGGGATGGTGGCAGAGCTGCTTACCTGGGACAGGCTGGAGTCGCTGCATGCTTTCCTGGCATCCTGCAATGGGAACAGCAGCATGTCAGAGTGGAGTCATTCTACTGAACAGGCAGAGGAAAATACATGCATTCTATTTCCTGGCACTCAGGTCTACATGAAACTTATATCAAATAAAAATGAAAAGAACAAAAAGTCTAAAGTTTGAGGTTGGTAAGATGTTTAATTTAATTTTATTTTTTAAAGAAGTCTCTTATGCTTGCCTTTATGTAATCAAAACCAACATAAAAACAGTAATATTGTAAAATATTACAATTTAAAATAACTTTTCTATTAATATATCTAAAAATGTAATTTATTCCTCTGATGCCAAAGCTGAATTTCCAGCAGCCATTACTCCAGTCTTCAGTGTCACACGATCCTTCAGAAATCATTCCAATATGCCGATTCAATGCTCAAAAACATTTCTTATTCTTATCGATGTTGAAAAAAGTTGTGCTGCTTAATATTTTTGTTGAAACTGGGATACATTCTTGTTCAGGATGCTTTAATGAATAGAAAGTTTAAAAGAATAACATTTGTCTTAGTAAAAGTCTTTACTGACGATTTATTGCATCCTTGCTAAATAAAGGAAAACTAAATGTATGTATCAATAATTATGTTGTGTGAATTAACACAGCTCAGGATTTTGAAGCTCCTTTAATCAAATCTGATGGCTCCTGATGGCACACAGCTGCTTTTACTAATTCAGTGGTTCTCAACTCCGGTCCTGGGGACCCACTACTCTGCACATTTTGTCTCTCTTTTCTGACACACTCAGTTCAATTCATGGATCTCTCTCATAACGAGCTGAGGATCTGAATCAGATTTTTAAATAAGGGTGACATCCCTTATATTCAGTGGCGGCTCGTTCATTTCAGTTCATGTCTCAGAATGTGTATAATTTGTTTGTAATTTCACAGTTGTAATACCATAACGTGAAAGTGCCGCTTTTCTATCGCGAATGTGCCGAATCTGCTGATGTAATTGCAACCGCTAATGATAGAGAAAGGGTAGGGGGAGGCCGGGTGAGAGCTGAGCTCTCGTGTCTCTGTTGGTAAAAAAAAATTAGCCAATCACCATCGATTGTTCACTTTCAGCGCTGAGGAGTGTTGAGAAAAGAACCCTCGCATGGGAGGCTAGCCTCCCTTCTGATATCAACCAATCATCAAAGAGATGTAAATTTCGTGATATTAGTTTGAACGTCTCCCGCTGTGCTGATAATGTACCAAGTACTTATGATGAGTAGCGATATTGAATATTTGATTGCCAACAGATTTACCAAGCTGTCAATCAAACAGTATATATATATATATACACACAAATTTAAAAAAGGGGAAAACAGCCTAAGCTGGATATAGGCTACAGCAGTAGGCTTAATTATAATGGCACAACAGGCAGCTCTCTTTTAACACAGACTTTTAAGAAGGGATGGATGTTTGCTTCAAGTGATAGGCCAGGTAAGTGAAATCATATTATCTTGCTGTATGTATGTCGTTTTCTTTACGTTTTCTGACTAAAAGCAACCAAAAAGTCATTTTAAAGTGGTTAAGCAAATAATAATAATAATAATAATAATAATAATAATAATCGGCAGGGATCCCAGACCAATACAATTAGAGTGCCTCCTCTATTTTAAAACCCACGAGCTGCCACTGCTTATATTCACACGCTGACAAGTCGTAATTACAACGTAAGGCACGTTAAAGTCACTTTGGTTAAGAATGTGTATCGGTATGTTAAAATTTTTTCTGTTTTTATTCAAGTTATGAAAGTGCTGTAAACTGAATATATTTTAATGTAATTGTACAATACTGTCGTATTTTAAAGATGCAACATATATAGTTTTAAAGACAAAAAATGCATTCATTTCAACAAATTTGCAGTCAATACAGACGCTGCATATCTATAGTTTTTGGCTGCATCCATTATGTTTTCTCACTGACAAGCCCCCGCCTCAAACTGAGGACTTGACGAAAATTTTGAGTTTCCCTCTATTAATCAGGAATTTGTGGTGGTGTTCATGTGCAACCAACTCAAATACAATCTTTCCAACATGACTTGAAAGAACCAATGTAAAATGAGCTAAAAGATTTAACTGAAGGTGTGGCAAAATCCTTTGAGCTGACCAGAAAGGGCATCAGTTCTTACTCTGATCTGATTGCGCAGCTGCTCTGCCTCCTGCCGCAACTGCTCCAGCTCACTCATGATCCTGCAAGCGTTTCACTCCTTTCCCAACTTTGATAATACTGACAAAGACCTGCAATGCACACACAAGCACCAAGTCACATTAAGAAGTCAATAAAGGACCGCTTAATAACAGAGCACTCAGGCTGGATTAATAATTCAAGCCACTCACGCAAACAATTTCCATATATTCATTTGATTGTCATGTCAGAGGTCCCACAGACCTAGTAAGACAGCCCCAATGGATAGTTTGTGAAGAACACAGAAAGTGCTCCAGTAGCATCAATGTTTTTACTAGACTGAATAGTACTAGGAACTGTATCATATAATTCAGTAGAGGAACAAACACTCCAGCTATTGCACTGCCAACTGAGAGCTGGGCACGCTGTGCTCCTTTGTTTAATGAGGGGTAGCACTGCTTGGCACTGCCTACTAGTTGATTTCCCTAAAATTTAGCTAACACCACCCCAATAAGGAGGTTATATACAGTATGATACTCACTTAAAGGCTGCAAATTTATCAGTTCGTGCAAGTAATATCAATACAATATGCAAATAAAGGGACCTCACATCTTTTCATTATAACTTTTAGAAATATAGAAATTATGATTTCACACACAATTTTAGAACTGAGCATAGCTTTAAAAAAATCTAAGCTTTTTCAGATTTTGCGTTTTAATATTGCCATGTTTTCCATGACTCAATTAACCTTACCTATAGCTTTCAGTCTTATTTCAGCCTAAAAGCAAAAAGAGTAACTGAATAAAATGCACAGTGACCTGTCACGTTGGTGGTTTGACACAATATGGGAATACCCCTTGAGATCACTGAGGTTTACCCTGACCTCTGTGAAATCTACATTTCAGCATAAATACTTTTAGGGAAGCGCAGTAGCATGACTGCAAGCAATGCTGCTAAAAACAGGAAGACTGCTGGTCCCAACCCTAGTAAACCAAATTACAGGAAAAGTAAGCATTGATCAATGTGCATTTTAAGCAAAGAACTTTCCATAATCTAACGCTTTACACATCAACTGAGACATATTAGGAATAACATACAGAAAAGCTCAGGTTGATTATAATAATGGAGTGGGAAGAAATATTTCATATGCTCGAACTAGCTGGATTGACATTTTAATTCAAAATTGAATATGTACATTGGATATTCTGATAAATCCGCCTTAATCCAGATGTGTTAATCCCTTACTAAACCTGCTGTGACACTCGCAGCCTGTTAAACCAGTCGCATTAAACGCGAAAACAATCCGTTGTAAATAAAATATCTTCACAGACACGACCATTTTGCCCGTTAATTGTTACATTCGTGTTGTTCATCGAGTTTAATGCGATTAAATGTAATGTTAACATCAGCATCACGTTACATATCACATTATTTCAAGGTAATTTAGCGAACTGTTTTGACAGATTCAATACCACATGTTGCACTAAACAGAAACCTCCCTGTAAGACACCATTTACGCGAGAATATTTAAGCAAAGAACTTTCCATAATCTAACGCTTTACACATCAACTGAGACATATTAGGAATAACATACAGAAAAGCTCAGGTTGATTATAATAATGGAGTGGGAAGAAATATTTCATATGCTCGAATTAGCTGGATTGACATTTTAATTCAAAATTGAATATGTACATTGGATATTCTGATAAATCCGCCTTAATCCAGATGTGTTAATCCCTTACTAAACCTGCTGTGACACTCGCAGCCTGTTAAACCAGTCGCAATAAACGCGAAAACAATCCGTTGTAAATAAAATATCTTCACAGACACGACCATTTTGCCCGTTAATTGTTACATTCGTGTTGTTCGTCGAGTTTAATGCGATTAAATGTAATGTTAACATCAGCATTACGTTACATATCACATTATTTCAAGGTAATTTAGCGAACTGTTTTGACAGATTCAATACCACATGTTGCACTAAACAGAAACCTCCCTGTAAGACACCATTTACGCGAGAATAATTTTTTTTTTTATAAAAGAACCTTTCCCTGCAGATTTGTCATCCGTCAAGTTAATCACAGAGTTATATTATGATTTGGTTAGCAAAGTGGCTAGCAAACGGTGAGTGTATCATGTCAGTTACTTCAGACCACCACACAGACATTGACATATTACCTGATGTAACAACACTACAAAATCCTCCTACCGCCTGTAAGGGTGAGCAGATTCTTTATTTCAAAACATTAACGCACTCATTTCGTATTATTTATATCCAAAAACAAGGACCCATGCGCCAAATGTACTAGTTTCAAGGCAATTCACAGAGCGATTACCACACCCATACTGACATTGAGAGCATGGCAACAATTGGATGAAGGGGGGAAATGAATTATTTTAGTGTTTTTTTAACAGAAGATATTCAGTGTCCTTGAGTAAAACTGAGTATATTATGTCTCTTATTACTTTATATAGTACATTATCATGAAGCCAATGTGTTTTTATCAAAACAGTTTGACATTTGTCTACGCCTACCTACTAGAGTCACCCGCGCTTGAAATGGTTCTGGCTATCAGCTTCCTCAATTATAAAAATGACTGAAGTAGTTGTGGATACAGTGTCAAATGCATTTGATTAGTAACAATACGTATGCAGACCTAAAAGAAAAAATCTTTGAGAATAGACATGAGAATAGAAATTTTAAAAAGTATATACATGATTGTGTTAATCTATAATCTACTACATTCAGTAATTATTAAAAACATGCTGATCAATGATATTAGTTGTACAGCAAAGGGTTTTTATTTGTACTTTGTCACAGAATATTCAAAAGCTTCCCACTTATTTAAAGCCACAGGGTACATTGGGTGGTTGCCAATTTTTCCGCTTCTCAGAGTGAGTTTTAATTCAGAGGCAATTGCTTCATAATAAATAAACACACGAATAAGAATAATAAATATTATAAATAAAAAGTTATTTGGAATTAAAGTTTGAATGCAATTATCATATAATATTTATGGTCAATATACAAATATGCATTAGGCAGTAGTGACACGAATGAAGCCATCTGTGGCATGCCATGGGTTAACGAATGCAACCTACACAATCACTACTTCATCGTCTCACTCCTTCTGATCTATAAACCCTGTCTACAGCACTCAAATATAGGAGTAATTAAGTTGCAAAACCAGTATTAAGTGACATTTAGAATTACCTAGTATGCTGAAGTCCACCGGTGGGAGATCAGTCAGTGGAAGCACCCGGCTCCCTCTGTACAGTATGTGCTGATGGGAGCACTGCCACCGGGATAAGCAGTGGGGACTTTAGTTAACAGCCAGCACGTCTACACTGAGAGCTGCTGGTGACAAGGTGGGGCTGGATGGGGGAGGCTGAATAGTGAAAGTGGGAAGATGAGGTCTTAAAGAAACAGTAGATGTCACTGTCTGTTCAGTTGGTCTGTGTCACAACTGAGAATGTGCTAAACAGAACAATAAGGACTGTCCTGTGCATTTAATTATTTGCCAATTGTTCACATTATCCGTGTACCCACAAAAGCTGCAATGATTCCTGAATGCGGGATCCCTACGTAATAAAGGCCTGTTAATAATTTATTAAAATGGAAAGCTTTTCCATGTAGTGCATTGTCAACACTTTGATTTCAAGTGCTTCATTGAATCGCTTGCTGTTAATTATGTTTATATTCAATATATTTGCTGACGAAAACATGCCCACTAGCTTGATTTAACACATCCTGCTGCACTAGATGAACATCATACTTGCATTTATGTATCGCATTTGATATTAGTTAGAAAACTGCTCATTGAAAACGGCTCAAATATCACAAAAGCAAATCAGCCTTGATAGTCAAAAGTCAAATTAAGGGCTGAGAATTTCCACACATATACTGTATCCATCCAAAGGTACTGAAAGCACTAAAGGGATTCCAGTTACAAAGGAAGTATTTTGAGTCACTATCTGAGGATGATATTACAGGTCACGAAACATGAACCTGCTAAGTCATCCACCTCACATCCTCGCTGTTCCCTAAAATCCTAAAGAAATCCATAAACTAATTTAAACCATTCTCCTTTTCAACCACACAGCTTTATTTTCAGGGCCTTGTTGATGTAAGGTGTCTAAAATTTCAACTTGTGGGAAAAAAAATCTTGGATAACCCATATCAAATCTAATGCTTACAGTATTTAAGGCCATCCAAGGTTATGTCTTAATTTGTGTATAATATAATATAATGGGTTAAAGGTTACATTTGTACCACTGCATTACTTCAGACAGAAGGAAAGCAGTGTTCAGTATGTGCCTGTTGGGGGTGCTCCGGTAGCATCATTTCTAAATCATTTAAAGGTCAGGGATCACCATCTGCCCTTAATTTTGAAATGAAACAAAGAGACATAATCATATTTCAGATCTTCTAAAATACAGCTTTAATAAATTGGTTATAAATGCATCTTGATTATATTACATTTTAATGTAGGAGAGATTGAAAGAGACATGCATACATTTTATGACTGTGCATTCCATTAAATAATCTATTTTACAAATAAATAAATAAATAAATACACCTCCTTCAGCTATTCTACAATTTTAGTCAGTAATTATATTCATAGTTTCGAAACAGCTCTGGTCATAGCAAAACTAGTGTGATTTACTACAGGACAAGTGTCATCAATGCCCGCATACTGTGCTCATACATGGCATATGATTTGAAATATTGTCATATATAGTATGTTTGTGTTGGATGTTTGGTCTGTCAAAAAATGTATATTAATAGTAGTTACATTCACTTTAAAGTTAAAATATGGGATCATAAAGAGAGGGAAATCTGTTTTGTGTATCATACATGCAATCATCAGATTTCCCAAATCGTTTGTAATATTTAAATTGAAGGTGCAATCTAATGAAGCAACTTTATCTGTCTTTGCCCCACATTTGTAAAATTATTAATGCTATTTATGTCTTTAAACACTGTCTCTCATTCAGTGCCCTTCAATTATCTCAGCTAACTCCTGTTACACCAACTTTACTAATAATGCATAGTGGCAAAATTATAAAGACAAAAGATTTTTGGTAATTTTAGCCAAAACAAACAAACAAAACAGCAATGCTGGTTTGCATAGTTATGTCTTCAAAGAAAATATCCAGCCTATTAGTATATAAAGGAGCTGAAATCATAACTGTTCTAGCACATGGCTTCTTTGCTATAAACAGACATATCTCTATAGGCTGAAGCGATTTGAGACACATGAAATGCACTTCAAACTTATCAGGCCAAAGAACTGAAATATATGACCAAATGTTGTTTATAGATTTGTGAATGTATTTAGTCCTTTTAAACATTTGGGCTAACAGTCTTACATAAACTCACTCACTTTCAACACTATACTGCTTTTGCTGTGACCTTTCATGCAGAGTTTGTGAAGTTGCTCCCCACCGAGCCCTGATCCAGAATGCCCTGGAGCACGCGGCATTAAAAGGGGCTTGCTGGAAGACAGATGGCCCAGGGAACACGCCCTGCTCGCACACCTGGGCACAGAACACCCTGAAAGGGTGTTGTGTCCTAAAGTGAAATTCAGCTAGCATTATTCCCTCACACTGCATTTGGCCTCACTGTGTTTAATAGAGGATTAACTGACTGTATATATGGCTACATTTTTATCAGCTAAACAACAGTGCTTCCTTGTGGTGAGACACATAGATTACCATTGAAAGCTGAAAACAAAACACAAAAGTTGAACAAAGGTTCTTCAGAACTGGCCTTAATAAATAGCTAGGTTTTTGAAAGGATTAATATTCAGTTTTAATCCACAAACTAAACGAAATTCCTCCTAATTTCCCCAACGATTTTTCTCAAGTATACAAAGTTTTTAGATAACCTTAAAAATATTACAGTAAAATATAACTAACATCAAGAAAAAAGTGCTTTTGCTCTCACTCACTTTGTCATTTATTCATCTACTTTCAAAACCCATCACTTACCTATTCTGTTTGTGCTCTATGCAATATAAACACCCTCTTCAGTGGCCTCTGAAGAAGGCAAAGGCTGCCCAAATATACACAACAAACAAAATTAGCTGTGCATACTTTGCATATCAATTGACATCCCACAGTCATTTGAGCCTAACTTTGTGCCTACTGTACGTGAATGATAGATATCACAGGTCCAAGTTTAATCACATGTCCATGTTGAAGGCCCTCATTAGGAAGTCCAGATCTCCCACACTGGCTGCCTGGAAAAGTTCTGGTTGGTTCATGAGGGAGAGGGCAATCCGCAGAGCTGCCCAGATATTGCTGGACATCACCTGATGACTCCTGCTCTTTCTTTGCTGGTGCAGAGCTGTCAGGAAGTTGTTCACTGCTTCCCTGCAAGAGAAAAGTGAGAGGTCAAACATGCTAACATCGAAATTGAAAGTTTTTTTCAGCCTTCTGCTTTAGCCTATTTATATCCACACTAAGGAGACAAACAGTTCTTTCCCATCAACCCATGCTCAGTGGTTCGGTTCATTACCGATGTGCCCCTAGGTTGATGCAGCTGATGCCGAGGTTGTATCTCGAACGGATGAAGCCTGGCTGGAGCTCTAGAGCTCTGGTGTAGGCCTCCACTGCCTCCTCACTGCGGTCCCCATTTGCCAGTGTGGCCCCGAGCCGATTCCACAGCAGATAGTCCTACAAAAACACAGAATTGCCAGAGTAAAGGACACTCAAGGACAGGGGTTTTTCATCTGAGTCTATGGAAAGTTTCAGAGAAAAACAAATGTTTAAAAAATGGAATTAAAACATAAGAAAGCTAACATTTTCAGAATTCTACAGTATTGTTTTATTCTGCATTATAAAGACTGGGCATAAATAATTATATTATATTATATTTAAACTTTATTTAACCTTTCATACAAAGTATTCATACAATGCATCTCAAAGTATTTCACAACAGAAAAGCATTACTTCACATAAAACAAGAAAAATACCATAATATAACAAGATTAAAAATTAAACCCAAAATGCTTCAAAAATGTAATTTGCTAATTAAAAGCTGAAGCAAAGAGGAAAATCCTCCTGTGTTTAGTTCCGGTTTCTTTGGTTGTCATGGTTTCTAAGTATGTTCTAATTTTTTTTTTCTTTGGTTACTAATTATGTTCCTCACCTGTGTCTAGTTTAGTTTATCATTATCCTGTGCATTTATACTGCTGAAGCCCCTTTCTCAGGATACTGTATTTAAAAATAATTTTGTAAAATCAAAATAAGCTTTACAGACCTTTATTGGAAAGCCTAAAACAGTACTACGGGGAGACTGGAAGGACAGCTGATCGTCCTTGC